ACGGGGGCTGGACTTGATGACCTGTCAAGGTCCCTTCCAGTCCTAGGAGATAGGATATCTCCATTAATTTATAAAAAAATAGGTTAGATAAATGTCTATCAGGAATGGTCTAGATAGTATTTGGTCCTGCCATGAGGGCAGGGGACTGGACTCGATGACCTCTCAAGGTCCCTTCCAGTCCTTGAATCTAGGTTGCAACTCTCCTGCTCAGAGAGCCAGCAGACCTCTCCCTCTGCTGCTGTCCACCTTCAGCCCTCTCCAGCCATGACTCTCGGTCTGAACTTTGTAGTGAAAACCTACATTATTAGCTAGGTGTAGACTTACAGGTGAAGACCCGGGTTCAAGGGTTTATAATATCGCTTTCTGTTGTCACCCGTTGTTTCCATCACTTTCTCTCATTTCTAGATAAATCTTTTTCTTTTTTAAATATAATTACTTTTGTTTTATTACAAGAGGTCACAAGTGCTGTGTGATGTACCAGAGCGGTGATTTAAGGTAAATCTGGTAAACTGGGGTACACGGCACCTTTGGGTGCAGAGGATCTGGTACTTATGTGAGTAGCCAAAGTCAGGGACTGGGTATCACAGGAGAACCATTCAAAGGGACTCAGGGATTAAGGTGCCCACCTTGTCAGCCTGCAGGCAAAGCTGGGGCTGGCAGAAGCCCAGAGGAGAGTGCTTGAGTGAGTGAGTGAAGAGCTGGTGATTTCAGGGAGCTGATGCCCACCTACTACAATTAAGACCCCCTCTTGCTGTAGGCAGGGGGTAACGAGGTGATTTTCAGTCCCCAGAAACCATCAGAGTGGGGCAGAAAGAGAGAAAAACCCTTTTGTCCCCTCCACTATCTCTCACCTTGTCCAGCACTTTACATAGAAGATACCTGTGAATACACAGAGGAGGCCACATGTTACTTACCCCAGTTGCTGCAGTTTACAGTTTGGGTGTGTCAGTCGCTTGCACAGCAGCCGCACTCCAGCATTGCCCAGAGAATTTGAACACAACTTCAGCTCTGTCAGGCTCTGGTTGGAGCTGAGAACATTGGCGAGATCCCCGCAGCAAGCGCCTGTGAGCTCACAATCCCACAAGCTGAAGTTGGAGAGAGAAACACAGACAAGAGGGATCATGCTGTGAATAGGGTTCGTCACAGCTGTTCTGACAGGTGTTCCTGCCCTACAGCCCCTCTCCCTGATCAATCAGCACATAGAATGAGCCAGAACTGCCCCGTCCTCCCATTGCTTCCCAAGCCCAACCCTTTGTCCAATGAGGAACTGATGTTGGGTGGGACTTCCTGCCTAAGCCCCACTGTGATGTTCTGTTCCTTGTGGGAACACCCTACACAACCATGTTCACCCTTATAATATTATTGTGCAGTATCTAATGCAAAGTTTGTCATTTCAGGTACCTTTGGAAGGCTCATGATGCACTGAGCATTGTTGTTACAGTGATGTTATAGTAACTGTTGTTACAATAATGTTACAGTGATGTTATAGGTTATAATTTCATGTATATAGTTATGAGGCTGAAAATGTGTCCTCGTGGCTTAAAGCAAGCCCAGGCAAAAACAGTCCAGAGCAGAGGGGCAGTTCACAATCATCAGGGCATGTATGGGACAAACCCAGTCCAGCCTCACAGGAACAAAGGACACTGGCCTAGGCAGCAACAAGGGATCTGTTGGACTCATGAGTGAGTCATCCCCTTCCTTCGGCCAGTTTGGGACTATGATGAGGTAATGCTCACCTGACTCTGAAGTGGGGGGGGGGGCAAGTCAAGAGGGAAGAAAGAACATGATAAAAGAGAGAGGCGTTTGCCTTGCTCTTCATCTCTTTTCCACCTCCATCTACAGACATCACCACCAAGCGACTGAAGCGGTGATCAAAGGGGAGAGCCTGGCTGAAGGGCAACCAACCACCTGTGGTAAGAATCATCTAAGTTTGTAAGGGCACTGAAAGTGTTAAGATCAGCTTAGAGTGCGTTTTGCTTTTATTTCATTTGACCAAATCTGACTTGTTGTGCTTTGACTTATAATCATTTAAAATCTATCTTTGTAGTTAATAAATCTGTTTGTTTATTCTACCTGAAGCAGTGCATTTGAAGCATGTCAGAGACTCCCCTTGGGATAAGAAGCCTGGTACATATCAAGTTATTTGTTAAATTGACTAACTCATATAACCTTGCAGCATCCAGCGGGCATAACTGGACACTGCAAGACAGAGATTCCTAGGGTTGTGTTGGGGACCGGAGACGTTGGCTGGTGTCATTTGGTTGCACAGTCCAAGCAGTTTACATGCCAGAGGTTGTGCGTGAACAGTGGGGGTTCTCACAGCAGAGCAGGGTAAGGCTGGCTCCTGGAGTTGAGGATTGGAGTGACTTAGCAGATCACCGGTCCAGAGAACACATGGGGAACGTCACATCTACCCCGGGTCAAGGGAAAAAACACCCACAGGGGAGACCAGTTGACCCAACCATGAACACCCCGATGGGGAAGTGCTGTGAGTGTGGCCAAGAAGGGCATTTCCATTGTGACTGTCCTCGTAGATTGCAGCTATGGCCAAGCATTAGCCACAGGCTTCAAGGCACACCAGGAAGGCTGCGCTAAACTCCTGATAACCCTACAGGTAGAAGGCACCCCTGTGACTGCATTGATTGACTCGGGCTGTAGCCAGACACTCATCTGGGCCAATTTGGTCGAGTCCCCCAATCCAGCAGGGACCCCAGTACTCCTCCAGTGTGTGCAAAGGCATATACAGTCGGACCCAGCTGTGTGGGTATGGCCGGCCAATGGATGCCAGGAGGAGGTGTGCTGGGTCGGACTGGCCCCAATGCTGACCTACCCAATGATCTTGGGAGAGGACTGGCGGGGGTTCTGTGAGATTGTGCAGGACTGCAGCCGTTGGGCTCCAGAGGAAGAAAAGACCAGCCCACTAAAGAGAGGCCATGTAGTGCAGGAGGGCATGGAGGATGTGGTGGCAGGCCCCCCACCTCCTAAAACCAGCACCCCCAAAGATCCCCCCTCTGAAGTCAGGACGACAGGGTTACTGAATGCAAGTGGCTGGAGCTTGGAGGGGACTTCATGAGGGAACAGCGGGAGGACCAAATTCTGAGTAGGGCTTGGGAGCAGGTGACAAACCCAGACTGGATGGGGGCACTGAGCAACAGACTCTGCAGGGACCCCAATTTGAGGTCTGTGAAGACCTCCTATACCGTGTGGTTCAGGAATCCCAGACCCAGGAAGAATTATGGCAGTTATTAGTCCCATGGAGGCACCGGAGGGACCTGTTACGACTGGCTCAATCAGTGCCCTTAGTGCACTTAATCACTATTTTTGGCCTGTCTGCTTTAAATGGTTGTGTCCCGTACAAGGATCTGCACATGCGTTGTGAGCAGTGACACCCTCACACTTTTAGGTGCCATGACAAAGGGTCAGCAGCTGCTAATGCCATTCCTCACTCCCATACTTTGTAGCTGAACTCAGTCCACTCTGCCCTGTGTCCTCTGTTTTCCTTTAGGAGGTAGAGATGAGAGAGCTCTGGGCCCAAAGGAAGAATATCGTTTGCCAGAAACAACACCAGGGTCAGCATGAGATGGAGTTGGTGTAATAAGAGGAAAGATAAAGAATAGGAGAAAAGAAAATGGGGTGGGTGTGACACTGAAAACACTTGGCAAAGGTCCTCTGTTCTTTACAAAAAGCTCAAACCTGACAAATTCAGTACACCAAATACATCTTATAGGATATTTATCCATCAAGTATAACAAGTAACATATCTACAGAAAGCTGTGTTGTCTACCCTTGCCACATTTGAGAACTGTCAATGGAAAGCCATCAAAGACAATGGCAAATATCAAAACCACTTGGAGGTGAAAACGAACCTTACAGCAGGCAGGAGATTGCCCTGGGTATGCAACAGCAGATGACAGTTCTCAGTATAACAGAGTGTAGGGAAAGGCGCTCTGTATTCATTCACTAAGGAAACCTTTTGAGGAGTTGTGGAGGGTGTCCTGAATGTTTGGATCCTGGTTCTTATGAAACCATAGAGTTCTGCGACTGAACTTTGTGGGGAAAATCTACTTTATTAGCTAGGAAAGGTAACTACTTACAGGTGTAGACCCATGCTCATGGTTTTATGATTTTGGTTTCTGTTGTCACCAGCTGTTTCCATCAATTTTCTCTAATTTCTAGATTAATCTTTATTCTTTCTTATTCAAGTGCCGTGTGGTGATTTAAGGTAAATCTGGTAAACTGGGGTGCACGGCAGTTCAGAGAATCTGGTATTTATGGAGTATCCAGAGTCAGGGGCTGGGCATCACAGAAGAATGATTCAAAGGGACTCAGTGATTAGGGTGCCCCTCTAGTCAGCCTGCAAGACAAAGCTGGGGCTGGCATAAGCCCAGAGGAGAGTGCTTGAGTGAGTGGCTGGGGCTGGTTGTTTTAGGCAACTGCTGCCCAGCTACTAAAAGTAAGACCCCGTCTAGCTGTAGGCGGGGGTAACGCGGTGACTCTCAGTCCCCGAGAACCATCAGAGTGGGGCAGATAGAGACAAAAATCCTTTTCTCCCCTTCAACGTCTCTCACCCTGCCAAGTGCTTTAGATAGTGGACACCTGTGAATACAAAGAGGAGGCCAAATGTTACTTACTCCAGTTTCTGCAGTTTGCAGGTCGGGTGTTTCAGTCCCTCACACAGCAGCCGCACTCCGGCATTGCCCAGATCATTATAACCCAGGTCCAGCTCTGTCAGGCTCTCTCTGGCTTTGAGAACATCAGCGAGATCCCTGCAACAAGCGCCTGTGAGACACCCATGTAACCTACAGGAGAGAGACACACAGACAAGAGGGATCACGCTGTGAATAGGGCTTGTCACAGCTGTTCTGTCAGGCAGCCTCACCCACCAGCCCCTCTCCCTGACCAATCAGCACCCAGAACCCCCGCTGCACTCGCTTTCCCAAGCCCCACCTTTTGTCCAATGAGAAACTGGTGTTGTGTGGGATTTCTTACCTAGGCCCACCCCTTACACTTCACTCTTGACCAGTCAGCACTGTGAATGGCCCAGACACCCTAATCCTTAAACCTCCTCCATTGACCAATAAAGATTAAGTTTGGGGTAAGACTCCAACACTAAGCACCGCCCCTCAGCCTTTCCACAGACTAACCAGAATTTAAGGGGCAGCCATCTGGCCACCCTAAATCCCACCTACCCAGCTCTCAACCATTCAGGCTGCATTTGGCACTGATGTGCCCTGGGATGGTGTGACTGAATCAGAGAAGTCCCATCTCTAAAGGGAGGCTGTAGGGGCACCACCTCCCCAGGCAGCTGGGCCAGGCTCAGAGCAAGAGCTGGGAGATCCTGCCCCTCCGCGCCCCCGGCACTAGCTCTGCTGCACAACTACTGACCAGACCAAACCCAGGCAAACATTTTAAGAGCTGTTGGAAGGGAAAACAAAAATCAAAAAGGGTTCCTTAGATGTTGGGGTGGGGGAATATAGAGTAGGGCGGGAGAGGGGTGCATGGAATGTTGGACCCACCTAGATGTTTTTAAAATATCCGGTGCCCTTTCCAGTATTTTAGAAATTTGCAATGCATTACAAAGGCAAAATTCTATTCAATCCAAATTACAAGAGCATTCATGGTTTTCATCTGGAATTCTGCACTAGGATGGCTGGCTAGTATGTCTTATTATGATGTACTGCGAAGAGATGTGCATATATCAGAACCACATGACCCCAAATAAATTGGATTATTTCCTAGCAGATGCATAAACAAACAGTCTAAAAGCAAACATCAGCTCAGTGGGAGATGGGAGTGTATGCAGGGGTAGTAGCAGCTCCATGATTAAGTTTACATACAAATTTACACTTGAAGCAGGACTGAAAATCCTGTATTTTCACTCGTTTACCAGCCGGCCTCATTTTGGGCACTAAGGGGAAACCATCAGCCAGTATGTGGGGGGCATTAGCTAAAGGAGGAGGGCACGTGACCTAACCACGAATCTCCTTCCCGCCCCACTCCAGCCAGGGCCCCCTCCTCACCCCACGTTACCTGGGGAGGCTCTATCCTTCCGCTGTGCCGGCTCCCCTCCTGGCAGACCCACGCAGGGAGCAGGATGGACAACAGCTGCCTGGGAGCGTGCCTGGCTGGGGCAGTAGTGGGCAGCCTCCCGCCCAGACTTGGCTTCCGGGACAGTAGCTGAGCGAGTCGGAACCAATCTGTTACCCCGGCATGCTCTGTGCACTGCAGCAACTGCCTGGGAGAGAGACAGTGGGGAGGGGCGGCAGCCCGCTGCCTCCCCAGGTTCAGCTTCTGGGGACAGGAGCCAACGCCGAGCATGCTGGGTGGAGTGTGTGTGTGGGTGGGGGGGGGGCGACTTGCTCGGCTGCTGTCCACAAACGCTGTGCCAGAGCAGGGGAACAGCCCAGTGCTGCTGCAGTCAAGTTCTCTCCCTGTCAGCCACTGTGCTGCACCAGGCAGGGTCCCAGACAGCGTACCGCTGGAATAGGCTCTGGCCCCACTTCTTCTCTTCTGACTCTGACCCTGGCCCTTCCACTCCTGTGACCAGCGTCCTAGTGGGGAGCCAGCTGTGGTCACTCAGTTGGGGTGAACTGCAACGAATGGGGCAGACAATCCCCAAAAAGCTGGTGGATATTCCAATACTTAGATTCACCGAGCCAGCATAAAACAGCTTCTTTATTACCTTACTAGTTACTCAGAAGACCAAACAACACAGTACCCTTAAAGTGATCCAGCCTCAGGCCTCCATCCAGATACCCACATCAAATATGATGAAAATATCTGTAAATCTTATTTCATCACATAAAAGAACAGGTTCTACCAATCCCAAAGGATCGGACACATTACCTCCCAGGTTATTGAATATTCCAGTTCTTACCCAAATACACGCTACAGCCAATTCTTATTATTAAAAAAAAAATTAATGGAGATATCCTATCTCCTAGAACTGGAAGGGACCTTGAAAGGTCATCGAGTCCAGCCCCCTGCCTTCACTAGCAGGACCAAGTACTGATTTTGCCCCAGACCCCTAGGTGGCCCCCTCAAGGATTGAACTCGCAACCCTGGGTTTAGCAGGCCAATGCTCAAACCACTGAGCTAATTTATTAAAAAACAAAAGACAAAGAGGGTATGGTTAAAAGATCAATATACATAAAGACATGAGTTCAGTTCATTGAGGTGCAGATTCATAGCAGAGATGGTGAGCTTTGTAGTTGCAAAGAGTTCTTTCAGAAATAGTTCATAGTTTATAGTCCAATGTCCAAATATCATATTCAGGGCAAACCAGCATAACCCGGACCTCAATCTTGTGACTCAAACTTCCCCGGAAGAAGCGTAAGCAAATATGAGATCACAGAATCAGGACCCAAGGATCTTTTATACAATTTCATGTCTTTTGACAAGTTGGAATCCCTCAGGGAACAAAAGGTAAATAGGATGACTTTGAAGGATGTCGATCACTGGTACTTAGCTATACGAATTAACATAAGGCCTTTTGCTTGTTCCACCACCATTCAAGGTACATTTCAAAGAGAGATGAATACTGAGATATCCCGTGTTTACAATTCATTTACATGATAGGATGTTCTTTTGACCTCTGAATTATCAGAATACAGCATAGACAGGGACTGTTGATTACATTGTCCACCCTATTCATACATATGTAAATACACAAAAACACAAACATTATCTCCCTACATGTCTTATGAAGGTTATTTATTTTGCAGGATGTTTAACCCTTTCTAGCCATGCGTCACAGCTCCCCACTGAGAGGGCGGTTGTTGGGGGGGACACTCAACTCTGCATGCCCCCTCCTCCCCACTTAAGTCGTCTATGCCATCAGTTAGAAAAATTTCATTGCTACCACGTTAGGAACATATCTAGTGGTCATCGCTAGGTTGGACTTAGATGTGTGAAGTGGTGCAGTTTTTCGCTAATGATTAAAGGTTATTGGTTATGCAATCAAAAAAAATATATCAGAAAATCACAAAAATGACTGATGAAAAACATTGTTTACTTTTCACCAAAAGTGGCAGAAATCTTCTTCATATGACTGATAACATAAGTGCCAACTCAGTGGGTGCTCTAGGGCTGGAGCATCCAAGGGAAAAAATGGCAGGTGCTGAGCACCCACCAGCAGCCCCCCTCAGCTGTTTCATGGCATCAGGAGGCACTGCAGGAACGGGGGAGGAGCAAGAGTGCAACACACTCAGGGGATGGGGTGGAACTGGGCGGGGAAGGGACAGAACTGGGGTTGAGTGGGGTTAGGAAAGAACAGGGTAGGTGTGGGACCTTTGGGGAATGGGTGGAGTGGGGGCAGGGCCTGGTTGGAGACAGGGGGAAGCACCCCCCAGCAGATTAGAAACTTGGTGCCTATGACTGATAATGCAATTATCTACTCAAAATAGTACTGTTTTTGAAAGTTTGGGAAATACTTAGACCAGGTGATATATTGTATGCATTTTCCCACACTTTTTTTTAACCTTTGGTTAAAGCAAAAGTTTGTAATCATACAACATTGTGAGCTTGTTTGTTCCATGAAACACAAAAAGAGTCATTATTTGTAGACTGGACTGATTTGAGAACAGTTTTTGTGTCTGTGATGGGTTGCACCCTTTGGGGAGCCACCTGATGTACTGGGATGCCACTGCATCGGTCTATTCTGCCAGCCTGGGCCCCCTTTTACCTGGTCTTGCTGGGCTAGACTCACAAGCCTCTTCCAGCCAAGCACACAGTCAGGGCCACGCCCAGCTGAACACAGAGACAGAGATCAGCTTTGGAAAGACTCAGCCTTAGGAGGTTGCCCCAACACTGTAGTGCCCACTCCCTTTAAGGGGAGCAAACCCAAAGGTTTTATGAAATTTGCCCCCTCCCCTGATGTGGAGAGAGGTATGCACAGCTCCCTGCCCCTCCCCACCCCCATGTTAATTTTACAAACTGGGTTATAGTATATGTGATGTTGCACTCCATATGCATTTTCCCACACTTTTTTACCTTTGGTTAAAACAAAAGTCTATAATCATACAACATTGTGAGCTTGTTTCTACCATGAAATGGTACTTATGCTTATGAGTGTGAATATGATGTCACTGGAATATGCTTTATGCAAAAGGTCTCTTGTAAGGTATAACAAAGGTTACGAACTGCTGAATATATTCTTCCTATTTATATGCATGTATCATTTTTGTATCTGAAGCTAGAAATATGAAGTATAACTCTGAGGTCTTATTGTCATTATGCAAAGTGTGGACCATTAATGGTGGTTTAGAATCTTGATGGCTCCCATTGATTAGGACAATTGATTGTAAATGGTTTATTTACCTGCAAGCCTTCTTGTGTATGTGTGCGCCAACTCAGGAAGAATGGAGACTAGGGGTCTTACAGTGAAATGTGACCATGTCACTTGATAACTGGAATCCATCTTAAAGCTGGTCTTTTTCCATTTAGAAGGAGGGGTGGGACTCAGAGAGACAAAAGATTCCTGCCTTGTGACAAAGCTATAAAAGGGGGTGGGTGGAGGAGGAAAAAAGGGGAGGGCTGTCATGAGAAAGCCCCTGCTTACCAACTGAGATGTCTGCTGGAACTAACAAAAAATGTACCGGGGAAAAGATTGGGCCCAGACTAGGAAGGAGTCTAGTCTGTGGAAGAAGCTTATTGGAACATCTCTGAGGGTGAGATATTACTTATAATCAGTTTCTTAATGTATTAGGCTTAGACTTGCATGTTTTTGCTTCATTTTGCTTGGTGACTTACTTTGTTCATTCTGTTATTACTTGAAACCACTCAAATCCTACTTTTTATACTTAATAAAATCACTTTTGTTTATTAATTAGCCCAGAGTAAGTGATTAATACCTGAGGGAGCAAACAACTATGCATATCTCTCTATCAGTCATATAGGGGGCGAACAATTTATGAATTTACCCTCTAAAAGCTTTATACAGAGTAAAATGGATTTATCTGGGGTTCAGGCTCCCAGAAAGGCTGAATACTGGGTGCTGGGAAAGTCCCTGTTAACTGAGAAGCCCCTGGGCTGAGTGACTCACAACTGCAGAGAGACGTGGCCCAACCTCTGGGTCGGTGCTGGAGCTGACTGGGGGCTGCAGACAGGGGAGTTTGAAAGGGAGAGCAAGAGATCCCACTGCCGAACAGGCTACCAGGTGAGAGTGAGAGTACTAGCTGTTGGTGTGAGTGAGTTTGCTTGATTGTTTGAATTTTAATTGTGATTGGCTGCTTGGATGTAGTTTTAAAGGGCATAAATATTGATAATGGTTTAGTTTTTGAAGATTTTATAAAGTGTGTGTGTGTGTGTGTGTGTGTGTGTGTGTGTGTGTGTGTGTGTGTGTGTGTGTGTGAGAAGAGAGAGAGAGAG